ACCAAAAGTCAAACGGCTCCCTATGATTCCAAGGGATGCACACACACTCTCTCTCCCTCTCCACTCTCCACAACCCGTGACGCTTGGCGTGTCCTCCTCTGTACTGGGCTTCCTGGTCAAGGAGATGTCGATTATAGTACAGTACATATATTGATAATACTGACACTTGTCAGCATGGCATGGAGTTGTTGGCAGGCAACCACACTTCTTTCATGTCCTTGCCATGAAACTGTCCTGCTTACCGGTCCTGCCCACAACACACGTGTGTTTGTCTCCAACCTTGGTGGGCGCAATGTGCACTTTCTCCGCAGGTCTTGGCAATCCTCAAGGAGGCGGTCATAGCGGTTGTTGAGCTCCTGAAACAGCTCCCCGCGCTTGGCTCAGTTCGCATTTTTCAGGTGTAATCGGGTCAAGGCCAAATCGGAAAAAGTACGATCGACTCAAGCCTAAGCCTTATTGAAAACAACTGCGGGACAGAAGAACGGCCATTTTACTCAGCCCTCTTCAAAGGCTTGACCTCCTCCTATTAAAAAGAAGTCGTGTAAAACAATTGCATACAGAACAGAAGGCACCTTTACATGCAAATTCTTTCTCAAACCTTTTTCAATCAGAGGTCCACAAGCTCATCGTCATAGTAGCCTCCAACCTAAACTTGAGCCGCTGGCCATCATACTCAGGAAGATGACAATTTCAAGAAGTCTGTGCTCAACGCAGTGGATAAGTTGCAACTCAGGGCAACCAGCCTTGACAAAAATTATGTACAATGATCTACCTAGCCATAATCTTCACCTCTTGTCGTCCAGTCAAGGCACTTTCAACGCGGTCTGGAGCTTCTTCCTGAGTGAAGGCTTCGTGGGCCACATGAAGGTAATGGCTATGACGAGCAAGCTACCAACCCTAGCCTAGGCACTGACATATATAACCACAATATTGACAATATATAAATATACTACTTCTAGCTTGACCTTTCATATTCATCTGCTAGCTAGGTCAGCTAGGTCAAGCGATAGACATCCTGCGGCGTTTCCTTCAGTTCTCTCAATTGGCAAGCAAACAAAAAATTTCTCGTCAACCTGGGATTGAAGACCACCCTATCTGTGAAAAGTCGGGCGTCATTCAGCATCCCTGCCATCGGCAGTTGCGCCGGAACTTTGAGCCACAGCTCCAAACAAACCTTGTCAACTTCGTGAACAAACCCCAAGCAACTCCCTGGAGTCCTCCTAGAGTAGCCTTTAGCTTTGAGGAAACAGAAAGCTATTGCACCTAAATACCCCGAGCGAAACGGCAAAAGCTTGGACTTGGTGCATGATGCGTTGGTCCTTCTGCACCTTTGTCATCTGGTTGTTGTGCACCTTTGTGCTTTCTCTGACATGGCTAGAACAAGTAACAACACCGGCGTCTCCCACTGAATCAGGGGTATGAACTGACCAACGTAGCGTGTTTGAGGAATGATCTGAATGGTATTCATAAAAGACACAAACAAGGTTAACGGTTAAATAAAAGAAACAGCTTCAAAGGACCAAAGCTCAGAATGATGCTGTTATTCAATGTGCATGGCAATGACTCTGATTTCCCTTGACTCATTGACCGCATGCTTCAGCGGACCTTTCACTTGGCGTAGATCTCGGTCTCTCATTCATGCAGGTCTCCAAAATCACAAGGCTGCTGAAGCCACTCATGCTTCACCCAAACTGTGAGCCTATTTGGCCCAGCCAAGGTTGGGGGCTGGGGAAACGACTACTAAACGATGGCCTGTATCAAACTTTGTTCTTGAGGATGCTTCTGCAATGAAGCAGAGTCACCCGCGTTGCCTTTGACTTCAGCACATGCCACTGGTGCCACTGAATTTGGGGGAAAAAGAGACTTGGGGTGACATGCACCGCTCACAGCACTGAAGACAAGGGCAGAGCTGCGTCGTTGCTGTCCGCACACCCGGCTTGAGCAATTACCTCTTGTCGATCTCTACATCTCATCTCTATGCCAATCATAGGAGGACCAACCCTATGCCTCTTGGCTCAATCCGTGGACATTTCCAGTTGTAGAGATAGTATTGCCTTGGGATCAGTGCACTTCAAAGCACACCACTACAGCCAAGCGTGTCATGACGCCGTCCTTTGATGTGGTCTGCAACAGCGCAAGGAGAGCGGCTCCAAGCCGCAGCCATATGCAGCTCGCAAACAATGAAACACCTTTGATTAAACACCACGTGAAGGAAAAAACACCCTCTGCCCAATCAAGTCACAAGTAGCCGTCACCAATCCCAAATTTCAGCTCCTGCGGAGACGTCAACCGTACCCACAAGAATCCCAGTGCTGCAACCAGTTGGGTGTGAAAACCTCCCGCCCGTCGGGCCCGTCTCCTTCAAAAATGACTCATTCTCCATAATGTCCAGAGCATTGAAGACATCAAAATCCTGAGTCGGCGTGGCCCATGAGTGCCCATCCAGACCCTAGACCATGGACTCTAGATCCATGCTTGTCCTGCTGCTTGGCCAAAATGAGAGCGTCATACATCAGGTCCTCCAAAGCCGGACGGACAAAAGACTAACAAGGGCACCGCCTGCCTCTCCTGCAAGGGCACCGTGGAAGCTACGTTCCAATATGAATAGGCTGCCTTCAAAGTATTGTGCTTGGCATGGCCTGCCACAGCTGAACAACCCAAACCACCCTGTCAATCCGTGGGAGGTTCCAGCTGTAGTTTTTTGCATGCCCCCGCGGCAACACAGCAAACGAGAAACCTTCAGAATCTATACCCTGGCCCCACAGTCGCCTAGGATGGAGGAGGGCAAGCTATAGAAGGAGCACACGTCAGTCACTTCACCCTTCTCATTCTCACCTCAAAGGCAGAGCCTATATCCGGCTCCCATGCCCTCAAGCTTTGCAAGTCATTTCGATGACGTTAGGCGCATGAACTGATAGGCTTTAGATAGTACCATCTACCAGTAGGTTCGGGGTGTACCCCATTTTTGAGCCATAGCCTTGTTGTCGTTTGTTCAAGCCAGCCTCTTCCTGGAAATGTCTTACTCTAACTTCTGGGGCGCTAACGAACATAGCAGTACACCACACCAGGCCGCGGCAGCATCCAATGTTCCACCTGGACTGTACTTCACCGCACTTGCGCGTGCAAGTCCCAAAAAAGAAGACCTTGAAGGCCATCTCAGATGTCTTTTGCACTGACTGAGGTTGCGAAAACAAATCCTGCCCTTGGGACCAGATTGAATATCTTACAAAAGTTGTGCAATCTATATATGACTTTCCATAAACTCTTCACCTGCTATCAGGCCTCCTCCGGTGTAAACTCCGGGTGCAATGTGAACTTCCTCTCCAATCAAAAACTATTCAAAGCCAAGCTTTTTCGAATGCCATCAATCTTATTAATTTGAATCTTATAATCCTACAAAACAACAACCGCAGTTGCAGTGGTCCTCAAGTAGTTCAGCACCAAGCCGTGCACTCTAGGCACATCCTCCTTCTTCATCTCTCGCATGCCAGGGAGCTGCGGCATGTCGGGAACCTCTGCACAACAACGCTTTGGTCTCCACCATTTGCTCTCATTGTCTATCAAGCTGCATTTCGCTAAGCAGTATCAACTTGGCTCCACATCTCAGAAAAGCTTGGTCGCGCCTTGTAGAGTTTAATCGTTCGTGCCATGGTCATTCTCGCACCCAAGTGTGAGAAGCCAACCTCTATGAGCTTCTTGGGATTTAAAGATCGATGCCAATAGCCTGGGGACACGAGACCCTGTGCCACCGCTCCCACCAACGGAGATCTCCCAACATGTTTCCCAGTTGTTTCTCTCGAACTGGCCCAGAAGCGGCACTCGCTGATGGGTCTAGGAAGCACAACTCCAGCGGTATACACAGCTTGCCATACATTTTCCCTGTTTACTCTGCGAGTGATCTCCTGAGCTTTGGGATAGCAAAATGTCGCAATGGCTGAATCTTAACCATATGGCGTGCGGCTATTATGAAGTGACTTCTAGACCATGCCAACCTACAAGAGCCTTTGTAGCTGTACGGAAATGCCTCATCCACCCAGCACAACTGACCGTGTGAGCTGAAAGCGGCTTTCCTTGATGAGCACGGGCGCGAGTCGTTTGGATCGCAGCCGCTTGTGGACACAAAGGAAATTGATCTCCGCCATCTGAATGGACTTCTCAAACACCTTAAGGGGCATTTCATGGAAGCTGCTCATTAGCACTCCAAGGTTTAGGAGTTTGGATACATTCTGCAGGCAATTAAAGCCATTGATCAACTGGGGTCAAGGCTCGAATCTTGGCAGGGATTCCGGTAATGAATCCGACAAGCCTCAGATGTGCCTCTGCACGCAACAGCTCTGACCATGGAAGGCGGTTTGATCGCAAAGGCATCGCCGGGGTGAAGGCAACAAAAAAACGGAGGCAAAACATCATGAGGACATAAAGCTTCTAGCGAGATATATTGTTGTGGAAAATCTTTTCTTTGGGGAGGTAGGTAGGGAGGTTCCCAGCATTGTAGTCGCCTGGTGCCTCTGAGGAGAGTGCGGTTTTTCGGTGGTGACATTTTCATGTGCGGGTGTGTGACACGCCATGAAATATGCCATCAAAGGCTAAAGCCACTAGAAGCTGAAAGCCACAAAAGCCATGCTTGTCTAAAACCAGCAAAAGCCACAGAAGCCAGAGAAGCCACAAAAAAACACAACAAACAAGCTGCCAAAAAGCTGAGCAAAAAAACCATCAGAGCAACAAAAAATATCAGACCTAAAATATACCCTCCAAAACATGGGCTGCGAGGCAGTCTCCAACAGGACAAGCATCTTTCCTCCACCTTGCACTCGAACCCCCAAATGCCAACTCCTGCCAGCAACACAAGTTCTGGGCCGACTCTTCCCCCCAACACTGTGCATATTTGCAATGCCCTCCTCAAGAACTCGGGTGGCTTCAACGCCCAGCGCAGAAAGTGGATCGAATAGTCAAACCGAAACATACTGTCCTAGGTGTCCCAAGCAGAACATGTGCTGTTAGTGAAGGGTTCGCAGTTTAGACATGCACGGAATTTCCAAGAGCTCTTGCGGATATTCTGCCTCAGCGCACTTGTGCTGCCAAGTCACATCGTCCTCCACATAATTTTCAGTCAAGAGTGTGTAAATTTCATCGATCTCTTTGTCGTCATCCACGTTACCTAAGGAATGACTTAACCTCAACTCCAGAGCTTGGATCACATGATCTCTTGGTATGCAGGTAGTTCCCAAATGAAGGTACAAATATGTAGGAATCCAGTGGGCTGGCGGTTAAAATCCGAACCCTCGCAACTCCATGTCCGACTTGTCAAATCTTGTCCAAGCTGCAAGTGCACCATTCGAACTTGTCGGGTAGAGGGTATGGCTCCTAGTGCCCAAAGCGACGCTGCTAGGGTCATTAAAATTAACATAGGACAGCAATTTCATGCAATTTACACATAACATGCTAGTGCTGGCTCTCTCTCTCTCTCTCTCTGTCTCTCTCTCGCTCTCTCTCTCTCTCTCCCCTTTCTCTCGCTTCTCTCTGTCCATTGTGGGAATCATGCAGTGATCACTGAAGCAGCGGCACAATCCCGCTATCATGCAAGAAAACAAAACGCGGTGCGCTTGCTTTTGAGATGGCCAAGGTTCTGCACGCACATCGTCTACTGTGCGCAACTCGTCCAAAGGCCCACTGTCTTGGCCATACCTGGATGTCAAGTGTCATGACTTGCGTCTGTCAAGCGTAGCTGCAAGGTTCCGCAAGTGAACTCACGACAAATGAACTTCGCAGTTACGCTGATGATGTCGGTTTCCCTGGTTGTACGCGGCATTCCGCTCATCAAAGGGTTAGTGTAAGGGTACGCCGGTTGCTCTGGGGAGTCAGTGTGTATTGGTCCGGGAAGACCAATCGGAGTAACAAGTGTACTTTGCAGGGACATCTTGATCACACTATTCACACTAGCAATGAGAAAGGATCGTTGGGCCATTACAATGTTCAATAGAATCATGTAATATATGTACGCGTACACACACACATACACTTGGATGGTTGCTCGCAAGAGCTAGGATCAGTATGAAGCCCCCCTTTACACGCATTTAGATTAGATGGCCACGCTGAACTTGATGGACCTCCACCTCCTTTTCAGGTTTCCTCACCTGTACCCTTAGGAAATGGTAACCTAGGCCGGCGTGTGGCACTGCTGTCAGTTCCGTATGCATATCCATAAGTGTGTTTGGCCTCGTGCCAACCCGGGATGAGCCCGCAGAGTGCCTCCCGTAGACCCGTCGAACGGGGGTTTGTCGTTGTTTCCCTTGCTTTGGAAACGTAAGTGCCCACAGCGGGGCGAAGCTGGCTCACGCCACAAGAAGTGGGATGTTTGTCTCAATTTTGGAATTCCAAGTTGGCTCATGCCTGTACGTGACGGCAGCGCTCAAAGCAGCCAGCCATTTCGGCAGGGCACAAGGTGACCACAGCGGTCAAAGCCAGTTTAAGGTTCATTGGAACCTGTCACGACCTTGGGTGCACATACAGCGTGTACATTCAAACGAGGCAGGTTCTCCTAGGTCGTTGTAATGAGGTTTGGTTTCATCGGTTTCGGTCCCCTCCATTTGGTTCCCCTTTTCATCCTTTCCCCTTTACACACTTCTTTTCTCTTCTTTTCTTTCATGTCTTCCCTTGCTTCATGTCCTGTCATCTCATCTCTTTCCTTCTTTTGCGTGCACACTGCCCGGCCCTTAGTTCGCACATGCGCAACCTACTTTCAAGTCAGGTTTCAGGTCGCCCAGGTTTTTACAATGAGGTGGGTTGTCATCGGTTGTTCCTGTGCACTTGGTTCCTTTTCATTGCAACCACATACATTCTTGTCCGGTCTTGTCCTCTTCATGTCTTCATTCTTTTGTCTTACTGCGCGCACATTCACACTTCTGCCCTGACCTTAGTGCGTCTCGCCTCCCCTCGGGGAGGCGTGTGTGTGTGTGTGCCCCTTATAATCACAGGGATCCCGTTGGATTGTTTTTCTTCTTTTGAGCAGGGGGACTGTCTACCCCACAGAAGTGACAGTCCAACGAAGAGGCTTCTGTGGCGGTACTGATATCACTGGAGACGTCCAGTGACGTACCTGCTCGTTTTGACCTGGAAATTCCCAATGGTCCTGCTTTTAGCTACAACAAGATTCTGGCCTTTGCACCGGTTTGCTCTCGGCAGTCACGCATAGGGCTTTGGTTTTGACTTGCAGATGTGAGCGGACGACGTCATTTTGTCGGTCGATCGTTCGATGGCTCCTTTAGATTAGATGGCCACGCTGAACTTGATGGACCTCCACTCCTTTTCAGGGTTCCTCACCTGTACCCTTAGGAAATGGTAACCTAGGCCGGCGTGTGGCACCGCTGTCAGTTCCGTATGCATATCCATAAGTGTGTGTGTCCACACCTGTGCCTAAGGTTTTGAGTCACAAAGGACGCTACCAGGGGCCCCTGGTTTCGCTACTAAGGGCTCCTGGTATCGCTATTAGCGTGCAGTTTGTCAATTTTTCAACACGTTCACCAACCAGCAGGGGGGCGTAGCGTGTTCAGATGACTATGCCCAACGAAGCTAGTCTGAACACGGGATACCAGGATTGGCCATCCTGGCGTACCTGCTGGATTTTTAAGCTTTGTCACCGTCTCACGCGATGAAACCAATTGTTCAAACACCTAAAAGTCAGCCGACTCAGCCGCCTTTCCGTTATTGCGCCTTTCGGTTCTTTCAAGTCAAGGTCTAATGCGTGTAAAGGGGGGCTTCATACTGATCCTAGCTCTTGCGAGCAACCATCCACTCGCCACAGTCCCACTGAGGGCTGTGGTGTGATCCCCATCGAGGGGCGCCGCATGTGCATAGACCCAGATCCTGAAGGATTGCTTCCACCTTGGCATTTCGTTCGATTCCTTCTGATTGACTGCTTTGCACGATACCACTGATACTATGCCGCATTCACATGTCCACGTCACGCTGCTAAGTATTCACAGGCCGGAAGAGAGCGAGAAACGAGAGTGTTTTTTTTTGGCCCTTTTGGGTTTTTCTTTCCTGCTGTTGCTTTTCTTTTTCTGGAGGCCTTTCTTTAGGTTTCTTTAGGTTTCAATTGCTTGTCAGAAATGGGTCCACCGTCCCCATAATCGGCTTGAAATGTCAATGATGACAGCCTTTGGGCCACCCCTCCCTGCCCCAGGTCTCCGTTGCTATCCCACCCGCTATCTAGGGCTATAGAAGGAAGTCGCACTCAACACACTTGTGCGTTGGTGCCTTTCCTTCTATTTCTCCTGTCCTACCTCTAGCTACCCGGGCGGCATAAGACCAAAGTCCCGCTCGCTAGCTTCTGCACGTATTGTAACTAGTGGGCCTCGTAACTACACCTATCTTTCTTCCTTGCCCTCTTAGTCTGCTTTTGTCATGTTTTCTTTGTCTGTCTTTCTAAGGCTTTTTAGGTGGCTCGTATTTTTCCGCGCGCCAATATTGGCGCTATGTGTACAAAGCTATGTGTACAAAAGTTGTGTACAAAGAGCGCACCGATCACGGCCTTGTGTTTGTGTATGTATCCGTACATGTGCTTAAGGCTTTGCGTCGCAAACGACGCTACTAGGGGCTTCTGGCATCGCTACTAGGAGCAAGGACGGTACTACTAGGTCTGGCCGTTCTACGGGGAGTAAGGACGCCACTAGGGGCTCCTGGCCTCGCTACTAGTTTGCAAGCTGGGGAGAGCGCGCCGAGTACGGCTTCGTGTGTGTGTCCACACACCTGTGCCTAAGGTTTTGAGTCACAAAGGACGGTACTAGGGGCCGCTGGTTTCGCTACTAAGGGCTCCTGGTATCGCTATTAGCGTGCAGTTTGTCAATTTTTCAACACGTTCACCAACCAGCAGGGGGGCGTAGCGTGTTCATATGACTACGCCCAACGACGCTAGTCTGAACACGGGATACCAGGATTGGCCATCCTGGCGTACCTGCTGGATTTTAAGCTTTGTCACGGTCTCATGCGATGAAACCAATTGTTCAAACACCTAAAAGTCATCGACCAACAAAATGACGTCGTCCGCTCACACCTGCAAGTCAAAACCAAAGCCCTATGCGTGACTGCCGAGAGCAAACCGGTGCAAAGGCCAGAATCTTGTTGTAGCTAAAAGCACGGACCATTGGGAATTTCCAGGTCAAAACGAGCAGGTACGTCACTGGACCTCTCCAGTGATATCAGTACCGTCACAGAAGCCTCTTCGTTGGACTGTCACTTCTGTGGGGTAGACAGTCCCCCTGCTCAAAAGAAGAAAAACAATCCAACGGGATCCCTGTGATTACAAGGGGCACATACATACATACATACATACATACAGACATACAGACATACAGACAGACATACAGACATACAAACATACAGACATACATACCATTACATTACATTACATTACATTACATGCCATTAATACATACATACATACATACATACATTGCATTGCATTGCATTGCATTGCATTGCATTGCATTGCTTTACTTTACTTTACTCTACTCTACTTTACTTTACTTTACATTACATACATTACATTAATTACATACATTACATTAATTACATTACATTTTTCTACATTACATTACATTACATTACATTTCATTTCATTTCATTACATACATTACTTTACTTACTTACTTTCTTACTTACTTACTTACCTACTTACTTACATACATACATACATGTTAAGTTGCTTGAGTTTAGTGTTTTTGCTCGCAAGAAGTGTTTTGCACCAATGTTATTTGTAAAAAATGAAAGAAGTGTTTTGGTGTTTCCGTGGCCAAGTCTTAAAACACTTGCACAACCAATAACCATTCGACCCTTCTTCTCACCCTCAATACCCTGAAACACTAGAGCCATCAGTCACAAATTCCCAAAGCGCAAGCACCAAATGCCGTTTTTTTAACAAAAAAATGCAAGCAGTCTCACTGATCCAAAGATCAGCTCTTCTTGAACAGCTTTCGCAGGTCTTCAAACAAACTTCCTACAAAGTGTTTACAAAGTTTTGGATCTTTACAAAAATTTGACAAAGTTTTGGAATTACAACTTTTTTACCGAGTTTTTGCATTACAAAGTTTAAACAAAGTCTACAAAGTTTAAAAATAGAAATAACAAACTTCACAAAGTTTTTTGGAAACTTACAGTACATTGAATTTTACAAAACTTTGGAACTACGAAGTTTTTACAAAGTATTGAACCTTTAGATATCTGAACAAAGCTTTGGACATTTATCAAGCTTTGAACAAGCTTTGGAATTTTACAAAGTTGTTACCAAGTTATTGAGTTTGAAAGTTTTTACAAAGCTTTTGCAAAAGTGTTTGATGCTTACAAACTTTCTACAAAGTTTCGTTGTTTTTTCAATCTGTGTCAAAACTTTGTAAACTTTATTATTTGAAAACTTTGCAAAACGTTGTAAACTTTGTAAGAACTTTGTAAACTTTGTAAATACTTTGTAAACTTTGTAAAAGCTGTGTAAGCTTTGTAGAAACTTTGGTGAAAGTCTAAAACTGTGTAAACTTTCAAAACTCTGCAACAACTGTGTAAAGATTGAAAAAATTGCAAACTTTGTCAAAACTTCGTAAACTGTTGTTAAAATTGTAAACTTTTTAAACACTGAAACACTTGTAAACTTTGTCAAAACTTTGTGAACTTTGTCAAAAAGTTTGTAAACATTGCAAACTTTGTACACTTTGTACTAACATGTTGTAAACTTTGTAAACAACTTTTAGATGTTGTAGGCCTTCGTAAACTCTATTTAAAAAAAGACCGTTATAAACTTCGTAGCACTTTGCAAACTTTGTAAAACGTTTTTAAACTTCGCAAACTTTGTCAAAGCATTGTAAACATTTTGAAAGACCTTGTGAACGTTGTGAAAACTTTGTAAACTTTGAACATTTTGTAAATTTCCTCAAAACTTTCTACAAATTGTGAAACTGTACAAACTTTGTAAAAACTTTGTAAATGTAGAAAGAAACTTTGTAAACTTTGCAAATAAATAAACTATCAAAACTTTGTAATCGTTGTCAAAACTTTGTAAACTTTGTCGAAACTCTGTAAACTTTGCAAAACTTCGTAAACTTGGCAAAATCTTGGTGAACTTTCCAAAATCTTCAAAACTTTGTAAACTTTGTAAAAACTTTGTAAATTTGTGTAACAAAAGGCAAATGTCGCAAACTTTGTCAGAACGTTGTAAACTTTGTAAAAACTTTGTAAACTTTGTAAAAACTGTGTAAACTATGTAAACTTTGTAAAAACTTTGTAAAACTTTGTAAAGTTCTGTGAAAGAAGTGTTTTTGCACGATTGAAGTGTTTTTCATGTCATTTGTTGCAAACATAAGTGTTTTTCACCAGCCATTTGTAAGCTTTGTAAAAACTTTGTAAACTTTGTAAAAACTTTGTAAACTTTGTAAAAACTTCGTAAACTTTGTAAAAACTTTGTAAAAACCTTGTAAACTGTGTAAAAACTTTGTAAACTTTGAAAAACTTTGTAAACTTTGTAAACACTTTGTAAACTTTGTAAAAGCTTTGTAAACTTGAAAAAGCTGTTGTAAATTTTGTAAAAACGTTGTACAACTTTGTAAACTTTGTAAAGACTTTGAACGCTTTGTAAGCACTTTGTGAGACTTTGTAGACTCTGTAAAAATTGAAAAAACTGTGTAAATTCCGAACGTTGCAAGAACTTTGTCAAATTCAAAAGCTTTCTAAAATCGTTGTAAACTTTCAATACTGTGCAAAAACTGTGTAAACTGTATAAACTTTGCAAATTTTGTGAAAGCTTTGTAAACTATGTAAATACTGTGTAAAGTTTGCAAATGTTTGTACACTTTGAAAAAACTCCATGTAAAATTGTAAAATTTGCAATCTTTGTAAAAAATGTATAGACTTTGTACAAGCTTTGTAAACTTTCAATACTTAAAACTGTGTAAACTTTGTAAAAACTTTGTCAACATTGCAGCAACATTGTAAAACTTTCAATACGTCTTTAATTGATTTTTTAATGGTAAAACCTTTGTAAACTGGGTAAACTTTGGAAATTGTTCAAAACTTTGTAAGCAGTGTTAAAATATTGTAAACTTTGTAAAACTTTGTAAACTTGGTAAACGATTGTAAAACTTTGCAAACTTCATAAAATCTGTGTAAAACTTTGTAAACTTTGTACCAACTTTGAAAGCCTTGTAAAAACGTAGTGAACCTGGTATAAACTTGGTAAACTTTGTCAACACTTTGTGTAGACTTTGTAAAACATTTTTAAACTTTGTCAAACTTTGTAAGCTTTGTCAACCTTTAAACTTGTAAATCTTTGTAAGAACTTGGTAAAACTTTATTAAGACGTTGTAAAATTCGCAAACTTTGTAAAAAGGTTTACAAACCTTTTACGAAGTTTTGGAGTTCTTCAAACTATTCTTCAAAGTTAGAGCAACGTTTTACACAGTTTTTAGAACGTTTACAAAGTTTTATATTTTTACAAAGTTATACAAAGCTTACCAAACTTTCACAAAGTCTTAATTAATATTTTGTACAAAGTTTGCAACTTTTGCAAAGAGTTGACAGAGTTGTTGAATTACAAACAAACTTACAAAGGTTTACAACGTCTACAAAGCTTTTACCATGGCCGTTCACTCACCACTCACGAGACAGACAAACCTATGAAATAGTCCTTTGGGTCTCGTATGTTGCCACTACCAATTCTTCAAAGGTCCGCAAGGGTCAAAAACACTTCTTCTGCGCTAATTCCCCCGAAACAACGAACGACGGTCCCCAAGCAACTTAACATACATACATACATACATACACATATATATATATATATATCTGTGTGCGTGTTGTGCCTATGAAGCTTGTGAATATGCTACTGCATGCTGCCGCTGAATCTGCACAACCATGTTGCTCTGAGCCCATCGATGGCACAGGCTGCGTGTCCCAAAAAAGGTGCTCCCGCGCCGTCTGTCTGCGTGACTCCTGCTGGAACGACTCAGACTGCTTCGAGCATAAAGAAAGCAGCTATCCGACACAATTGGATGCATGGAATGGGCACAGTTGCAAGGATGCCATACCCTGATAAAGGGTGCTTGTCTCAAATCAAGAAGCTACAAAGCTACCAGAAACACATTCATTGATCTATCCTACCTATGATCGGTCCAGCTGCACACCTCGTGATAATAACTGTATGGCCTTTAAAGCCGATTGAAGCCCACTTGTGCAGCTTTCCTTTTCTGGGATGTAGATGGAGCTAAAAATAAACATGATGCCAGCCCCTCCTCACATGGGCCACGCTTGCGCAACATTTGGAGCAAGTGCTGCTGCTGGTCAGGATCTTCCTTCTCCTGCAAAGCGCCAAGTGAATGTTAAAAGGAACAACCTACTTGTGTCAGGTGCCAAGCAATGACCAATTGGACTTCTTCACCGTCAAGTATTCAGGCTCTCGGTTCTACACCGAGTGTGGCGTTTATTCGTTCATCTCACCATCCTCCTCGCCATTTGCAGTGGAAGGGTAGCCAGCGGTGCCTTCCGTCTTGGCAGGCTTCTTCCTTAACTAGTCTAACCAAACCAATGTCATACTTTGTCTGCAGGACCACCATGCGACCAGGTACATAACATCGCACTGCTACTGAACCGTCTGCGCTCTCTCCTTGACTCGAATCCCGCAACCACCATTTGAGCCTACTCCATGCTGCTGAGAGGCTTCTGTTTCTTCTTTTTTTCACCAGTTTGGGCACCTTCCTCGTTCTCGTTCTCGTTTTCATCCTCTTCTTCGTCTTCAGCTTCCTCATCTTCGTCTCTGTCTTCCTGCAGAAAGGAAGGGTCAGCGATTTGGTGTGCAGGATGCTGGAGGATGGTGAAAATAAGATAAAGGTTTGTTGCCATACAAAGGTCTCTCTTTTTCTTTCTTCGCAGGTACTTGCAAACTATTAAAGAGCTCGCCACTGTCTAAGCTTTCTTCTTCTCTGTGCTTCATAATTGGTGCTTCTTACTGATCTACATTGCTTTGAATCGGTTGTTCATTGCCCCATCTGCGGTCGGTTTCTCATCACTGGTTGGTGATTGGTGATCTTTCGCAAGGTGCTTCTTGCAACACTCAAATGTCACATTTGTTGAGGCACATTGGTACAAGTTCATGAAATCATGGAACACCAGGAGACAGTGGATGGCCAGGCTACCATAGCCTCTAATTTCTTGAATACTACAGCTGAACTACTTGTCTGATCTCGTTTCCATGATTCTCCAAGAAGCCTACTGAAGGACCCTGCTGATTATTGCTTTCCCTTAGCGCGCACCAGCAAAACCAATGAGTGGAACCCACCTACCATTTACCAAAACACTTCAAACTGGCCATATTACCAAGGTGCTTGATTTCTGGTTTGCAGATAGGCTCGACTACACCATCTACTCAGTCCTTGCTAGGGCTCTTTGCAGCTTCTGCCATGGCTGCCAGCAAAGGGTGCCGCAGTTCTACGCCAAAGAGGTGTGTGCACGTGTTGAAGTTAACGTCATGTCATGGTGAGTTAGCTGGATTGTTGCTTTGGGTCATATTTTACTGTACATAGGTGAGGCCAGAAAACGAAAGAAATGTCGAACCAGTACCACGTGACCATCTTGCCCTTCTTGGTCCGGATCAGTGTGATAAAATCTCAACATCATATAATCTCATTGTGGTCATTGTCAGGTGGGCTTCAGCTTGAAATTCAACGAAGGCGAGCGAGGCATAGCCCTCGCAGCACCCGCAGCTTGCCGGCTGACCAACAGTCAGACCGCTGAATCGGTTGAAAGGTGTGCCTCAGCCGACTTTATCTTTTTCTCCAGTTCTGGCTTTGGTCGGCTTTTGCCTTCATAGGAGAACCTCGACACCCGTTCTCAGGTGACCAAGTTAGCTTCGCGGTCACAAAAGAACCAGGCCAATGCCCTGCGGGTCAATCTTTGGGCACTTCCAGTTGTAGAGGTAGTACTGCCTCCAAGCATTGAAAGCGACTTATATAAGAGGTAAGCATCAGGACCAGTAAGGGAGCCATCAAAGAGGGGGAAGGTATGGTCAGCTGAGTGTCAGAAACCCATCACCGATGCCAAACTTCAGCTCCTGCACTCGATCACTGGAAAGCTTGTCAGTGCTTGCACATGGAGAGCACAACGCGTTGGAAAGTCAAGAGCTAGTAGCCTAGGCCATGACAAGCATGACATGACCAAAACAACAAATCAAGAATCAGATCACAGCAAGCTGGTTGCCCTGGACCTTGAGAAAGCTCTCATTCTCCATGACATCCAGCGCATTGAACACGTCGAAATCCTCCACAAACAAGGTCTGCATTGCAAGTGGCACATTCAACGTATCCTACCGGACTGAGCTGCTCTGTTGTTTTTCCTTCCACCTACCCAACATGACCCATGACCCATGACAAGTTACAGCAAGTTCATGAGTTTCTTCTAAGCCCACAGCGAGCTGCTTGGCTAAAATTAGCGCATCATACATCAAGTCCTGCAACAATTGGCTGCCTCTCTCTCTCTCTCTCTCTTTTGGTTTTTCCAAGAGATGGATTTGTCGTCCACTTTTAGGAACTCAATGATGAGGCAAGAGAGCTGTGAACGCTCAGTTCTTAGCAAGTTCTCCCGTTTCAATCTCCAGCCAGCAGAGAACTGTTGCTTGTCAATGATGCGAAACCTTGATGTACATATGTTTCCCTAAGGCTTCCTGCAAAGGAACTGTGGTGGCCACATTCCAGTATGAGTAGGCTGCTCTCAGCTGGTTGTGCTTCTCATGGCCTGATCAGGAAAGGTGATCAAATGTCGGTGTTTAGCATGCACATGAATTGCTGTTTTAATGCTTTATTTGCCATCATCCGTTGATGCACAAGAGTTGCAGCGACAGGAAGAACCTTTTCTCCTTACACAGGACATTCCCTGCGTCACTCCGAGTCACTTGTTGCAAACCTGGAATCTTAATAATCGTTCTTAGCCGCTCGCAGCATCATGTGAGCGTCATTGTCTATGTGCCCACTACGCTCTTTTGTCCACATACCCTTGTCATGCATACTCCTGTCTGCATATAGAAGAAGCAGTGAACAGGTGTCATCACTTCTGCTACCACATGGCACACTGAACAGGTGGATTGGATGGGGTGTAGCAAGTCTTCGTTCACCCAAATCTCCGCACCTATAAAATGATATATACTGCAAAAAGCCGGCTAAGCGAACTTAGCAAGGATCCATAGCAGCTGGGTATGAGCAAACCCCATTCACAAACTAAGCACTCATTCTCTTTGACAAAAACTTGAACCTGCAATTCCAACAATCAGAACCGACTTGTGTCCGAGCCTAGGATGGTGGAGGGCAAATTATAGAAGGAGCACACATCGTTGATCTCGCCCTTCTCATTCTCACCTACAGGCAGGGTTGCCTGAAGGCTCTCGTCTCCTTCCGCTGAATCGGCTTTTCTTGACTTGTGGTGCATCAACAGCAGGTACGAGTGTTTTTTGCTGGTGGGCGTCTCCTCATCTTCCGTTCTTTCAGAAAAGCATTTCCGCCTGGTGCTAAGCGCTGACAAGTCGCGGACGTAGCAGTACACGACATCTTTACGTGGCATCATCCAATGCTCCACCTTTCACCGCAAACTAGCTCACAATGAAGGATTGATCTGCATCAAACGTCAGTTGGGCATGAGCAACTTTTAAAAAGCGGCAAGAGAGCGGATATTAAGATGTTTTCACCCCGCCAAAGCAGGGATGAAACCATGAAGCTCAGCTTACTAAAATGAAACCAGCAGAGAGCCTCTTCTGGCGATAGTTCTGGATGAAGTTGGAACTTCCTCATAGGACAAGGCTATCAGGGTGAACACACATCACAGTACCCACAACTGCCCCATTTGCTGGTAGCCAAAAGCACTATGCCACTATGCGACTTTGCTGCGCATATGTGTGTGTGTGTGCGCGTGCTAGCTGTCTGTTTTTTAGCAAGCCCCATCTAGCTGCAAAATGACAAAGCAGTGAAGGAGGTTTGAGCAGACCTTCGTTTGCTTGCTGCTTGGACAGCTTGTGTCCAAGGATCTTCAAGTAGGTCGAAACCAAAGCATGCACACGTGGAACGTCTTCCTTTCTCATCTCTCGCATTCCTGAAAGTTGGCACGTCTCTGGCACCTGGAAGTGGTCAACAAGCGACAAATGGGAGCTGTGGAAGAATCTCGCTCAACATCTTCCCAAATAATCTGCAGTTTTTAGCACTCTGTGGTGCATATGCATCAGTGAGACAAATCCAATACTCGTGATCTATTCATATCTATTCGTCCTGATCTGAGGCCTGCCTTGTATAGCTTGATCGTCCTCGCCATAGTCATGCGAGCACCCAGATGAGAAAAACCCACCTCTATGAGTTTCTTCGGATTCAAAGAGCGATGATGATATCCTGGGCAGGCGCGCAAGTGCACATGATCTGCAATCAGCCATGAGTTGCCAAAGATCCGTGGACAAGCTTACCGAAACGTTTGGCCGCAAAACGACCCAAGAGCTGCAGTTGCAAAACACCTCAACACTCCCTACCCCAGTTGAACAGAGTTCCTGTTGCCTGAACTTGCTTACACCCTGTCTCGGAACCAATCAGTTTTTGTAGCCGTGGTTCAAGCCTGCGTAGGTTGCGTGTGGATGCAGTTGGATTTCGACCCGAGGCTGTCTACACTGTAAGCATCTATCCACGAACCATGAATTGTTGCAGTGCAGAAATATACTGGCTAGAGAAGGAGTCTGAAAATGGTGTGAACACCAGGCGGCGGCACTCGCTGACGGGCCGTGGCAGCACAACGCCAGCAGTGTAGACCGCCTGCCACACGTTCTCGCAGTTCACCCTCCGGGTGATCTCCTGCGCAAAAACGGAGAAGAGAAGAGTTTCCACTGGTTTCTGACATCTCTGTTTCGATGGTGCAATACGTCCGTAAAGGAACCCAAGAGCTGGAATTTGCCAGGATTGCAGTCTCCAAGTCCAACAACACACAAAGGTACCCCTCGCAGGTGACACATCGAGGGAAGAAGCTACCACCTTCAAAGCAAGCAAAGTAGCAGGCGTAAAACCACCCGGACACGCTTTGACAGGACGTGCCTCCAAACCTGTTTGACGGAAAACAAGCTGGGCCTAACGACGTCAGGAAGACCGAGGCCATGAGACAAACCAAAAACGGTACCCTCCTTGATGAGCACAGGTGCCAAGCGCTTGGATCTAAGCTTCTTGTGGACGCACAAGAAATTGATTTCCGCCATGTCAATTAGCTTGTCAAACACCTGGCCAAACAATTCAGTTCCTATCAAAAACACTCATCTTGAGTCTTGATTTCCAGAACAGGACATTAAGATCATTAAGTTTAAAAACTACATATATGGTTTGAAAGGAACACCTTCTCACAGGGTGGTAACACCGCGCAAATGCCAATTGATCAGTGTATACCGATCATGAGAAAGGCTGAGCAAAAATAGCAGCACGCTCTAATGCACAAATTGCAAAATGATTGTTTCCACTAGCCACTAGCCTCTGCAAAATGGTGTATGCTGATGTGACAGAACTTTGTAACAACCTCAGCAATACAATACCCCTCCTGGATGTGGGCGGGGATGCCAGTAATAAAGCCAACCAGCCTTGGCATGTTCAGATTGTTGGTTGAAACCAGCTGCATTTGCAGGATCCAATTGAAAAACAAGCCCGTTCGCTCCAAAGCCTCACATGAGTTCAGAGTTCAGGCAAATATATAAGTGCTGCAAGCAAGTGACTTTCCACCACCTTTGACCCGCACCCCCAGATGCCATTTCCTTCACAAAGGTGCAAGCTACGCAACAGTGAGGCACCCATTACCGCTGAGTCTGTTTTCCTTTATTTTTATCTTTCCCATGACCGCTGAGTTCCACTAAGAAAGCTCTTGTGACCTCCCCGTTTCTCCTCAAAAACCCAGGTGGCTTCAATGCCCACTGCAGGAAGTCGGTGGAATAATCAAAGCGGAACATACTATCCTTAGTGTGAGCACGAACGAATTCTCATGATTTCACCTTGACTAATAAAGCAAGGAAGAAACAACGACCAACAACAACAACAACAACAACAACTACTACTACTACTACTACTGCTACTGCATCTACAACTACACCTACAACTACAACAAGAAAAAGAACAACTACAACTACAACTACAAAAACTACAACTACAACTGCGATAGGGCTGAAGCGCATCGTCTTCAACGTAGTTCTCTGTCAGGAGCGTGTAGATTTCCTGAAGCTCTTTGTCATCGTTCACGTCGCCTCAAAGCAAGAGAAACTGAGCTGTCGTGGCCCAAGGGCAGTACTGTGGAACGGTTCGGTCGACTTCCGAATTGCCCAACTAGACGAACGGCGGATGTCCATCATCAAGTTGTTTCTCCCTGAAAAGCGCGGAAATGGTTCATTCAACTCTTCAATGTCAGGCACTTGGCCCGAGCCACACTGAATGAGAATGGATTAGTTACAACGGCTGTTTGGTTAACCGATGGAAAATTGTCTTCAAACATGCCTGCAGACTACATAGCAGCCAAAGTCACAAGTGCACCATTCAAACTGAGCAGGGAGAGGATAAGGTTCCTTGGTGACAAGAATTGTGTAACAAGTCACTTGTGATAAATCTTTGCCTTCCCAGCACTTTGCGTATCTGGATTTTACAATGTTCATGTTTCATGTCCATGTTCAATCCAAAATCCATTTGCCTGTTCTAGCATTGGGATCATCAATCCATGTTTGTTCATGTCGATTTGGTTTGGCGTGGTCTATGCAGGCGTTTGGTCAGTTTACTTTAGCCACATTCCCTCATCTACAACTCCCAGCGTGGTTCGTAAGCCTGCAGTACGGTTCGTCTCAGCGGCAATTGGTTGAATCAAATGTTATATGGAACCAAGCTGTCGACAACAAAGGTTTTCGGGCTGCAACCCAAGCCGGTGGTTGCAGTCAAAAGGGTTCAAGCGCACCGAGTTGCGGAACATGGTTGCTAGGATGTTTTGATGTTTTGACGTTTTGTGATTGGTTTGTGGACTTGAAACAGTTTCGCATCTGCAACTGCTGTCGCTCACCGCTCCGAAACACAAAATTGTTGACCCAGGCTCTGCCCTCACGTCTTCAGGAGTTTTCACGTTGTCAAGAGGCCCGTTGTCTTGGGAATACCTGCCCGAGCGGCATCTCACACAAGGCACCATCCCGTACCAACCTGTCATGGGGCATGCCATTCACCCTACAAGAATGCAAAGTTACAAACTGGCATCCCATCACCTCCTCACCAGTGCACGAACATTTTTTGTTTTGTTCAGCACATCTGCTTGCCAGCACAAGCCTAACACAGAACTAATTGCTGTTGCACGTGCACATGTCAAACTTTATCACCCAAGGTGCTCCGAACTCATTGATGGCACTGGTTGGGTGTCCCAAAACGTGTGAGGTCGCTCCGAATGCCGTCGCGATTCCTGGAGTGCTGAAGTGCCAGCATGTCAACATACACATCATATCCCATGACGAGGCTACAGTTTTATGTGGAGGTGGCAAGTTTTGAAGGCAAAAACTGCATTTTCCAGAACGCCCGTCCTCGCATGGACCCCGCTTGCGCAACATCTGAACGAGGTGTTGTTGTTGGTTTGTTGGATCCTCCTGCGAGCACACACATCAATAACTCAATAACCAAAAAACCAATCAATTGTGGTGCTGGCGCATTTCATGGGTTTTTGCCATAATGAACTGAAACTGGCGCAGGTTCCAGCACTGCAGCTGGCCTTGTCTTCGTCAATATTTTCGCCTCCTTTCTTATCGGTTTGCCTTAACCACATCGGCCCAAACCAAAGCAATCCATGAACTGCAATGACCGGACCGCGTTCAAAGGGCAAAGGTTTTGATGGCTTTTCCTCCTTAAATTTGGAGCACAAGCACTGTTTGTTCGCCGAATCATCTCCGTCATTGTCTTCATCATCCTCGCGTTGAAACTGTCACATTGCAGCACCACTCACGTTTCCATATACGTTTGTGTTTTTCTCCCTCCCTCTCAATTTTTGTCTGTCTTTGCGGGCTTGGCTTTCTCGCTGCCTCAACAAGGCGCGCTTCCACATTTCGAGTTTTGACGTTTTAGGCGCCAAACATGTCCTTTGCCGGTTCCACATCCGCCGCTTTAGGCGCTGTGTCGGAAGGATACCCTTCCATGGCGCTGCTACTGTTTTCAACAACCAGTTTCCGTTGAAAACAGAAGACACAAAATGGTTCATTGAAGAATGTCTTGTGTCTTGCAGTGACCCTCCCAAAACATGTGTTTACGCCTTGCCGGGCTTAAATACATGTCGGTTTTTATTCTGCAAACGCTTTGGGCCAACTTTCTCCAGCGTCCAACATCAACGCGCGCACCACCAAAACACAAAATCAACCCGCCAACCTAATGTTTCATGTTTTCATTGCCAAAGCCTGTTTCACGCAAGCAGTCTGAGTTTGAGCTGCTTTTATAGTGGCCAGCTTCCAGATGCGCTCGAGGCAAGACCCTTCTTACACTGGCCAGCCTCCCGATGTGCACAGTCCAAGGGGCCTAGTGGCGGGGTGAGGGGGGCCGTCGATGTTGGTGGAAGATGTGGAAGTGGATGCGGGGAAGTGAAGGAGGCTGGAGGCAAACGCTCGTATCGCAGCCGTGGATAGGTGGACCGCCCACCGGGAAATCCAAGCATGGTGAGCGGCAGGTCGAAGGATGGCTGGTAGCGCTTGGGTTTTGCGCCGGTGTGAGGGGGGGACACCAAGATGGTGTCGATTGTCTTTTCTCCGTGACCGTGTTAGTCTCAGCTGGCCAGCTACACATCCGCTCAGAATCGGGGAAGGCCCACCGACGTGGGGGATGTTAGCCACGAAGAGGGAGTCGATTGGGCTCAGCTTGGATGCCTGGGTGCAAGGGAGGTGGATCCCCATCGAGGTTGGACAGGCCAACGGGTGGCAGGCAAGCCAATTAGGTTGCCAAAGCTTCCTGGGCCGCATGCGTGAAGAGGGCGGACCACCGACCACCGAGCGACCAATGCAGTGACGGTCGATTGCCGGAGGGTGGCCGCGACTGTCCGAGCCTTGGCGTGAACGAGTTGTCGTAGAAAGTTGGCGGCCTCCTCACTCCAACGTCCTCCAACCTCCACTGCGAGGACGGCTAGTCGGCATTTGCTTGGTCTCTGCAACTGTGGGTCTGTGCGCTCCTTTGCGCGCCTTGCAGCATGGAGGGCTGCGGCTGTGTAGCGGCTATGTTGCCAGGAGTCTGATGAAGGTATACCGACGGACTGAAAGTGAAAATGTCTAATTGTAAATTTGAACTGACTCATTTTGAGACCATTTACACGAAACCGCTATACTCTATCTGAGGCCTTCTTGAAGCGAAGTGAAAATATGAAAATTCCTTGTCTATTTTGCAAAGGGAAATGTATTTTAAAACCAAAACCACATTCAGTTTTTCAGGATTCTTGGCTCCACCGCCTGCCGCTCACAAGTCCAAGGACGACGAGACCCAGACCGACCAGTTCTGGGTGCGGCCGTTCTTTTTGGCAAAACGGGCTAAGCGCACGGCTGCACCTATGCATTGGCCCCGGTGGTTTGGGTCGGCCTGCTGATGTGAGTGGGGGCAGTATATAGCTGCAACCGCCACCCGCATGACAGAAATGATCCCCTGATATTCATGAGCTGTCTAAGCCCTGGGCCAGCCGCCGCCAAGGGCCCACCGCAATAACAGTGTCTGCGCAAACGGCTTGTACACGCGCTACCTGACTCCCAGCCTCTTCCGGCTCATATTTCTGCACCTCCATGTGGCTTTCAGTGCACGGAGAACAATATGGTAAGACCATTTGCAATTTATCTTTTGGGTGGCGTAAGGTTGGCCACCTCATTTTGAGGTTGGGCACAAATGTCTTCCAAAATTTAGTACATTGTATCTAGTCAAAAATCGTGGGTTCCAGGCTTTCCAGCCAGCATAGGTTTCCAGCCAGTATGCGGCCAACGAGCGGGTAAAAAAATAAAACAGGGTCTCGTGTCATCACCACACTCGCGCGGAAGGAACATTGTTGGTGCATGTAGTGGTATGGTATGTTTGTCGGTGGTGGGAAAGCCTACCCGTCTGGGCACTCAGCCTCCACCACCCTGTGTGGCCCAAAGCGCGGCAAGACTGCAGTCCGAGTGGTTTTCTGCAGAGTCGGCGTTCCAAAGCGCAAGTGGCCACACACATAGTGTCAAGCGGAGAAAATAGTTTGTTGTGCTTTGGACGTAACCATTCCTCACAGCAGGCACTGCGACTTAGTCGGATGCTTGATGATGAGGAAACCACCCACAGCCTCACCGCCGTGGCCCAAAGATTGGCGCAAGCCAGGGTACCGGCAACTATCAGATTGTGGCATTGCAAAAACCCAATGGACGAGTCCGGGGTATTGTCATCGGGGATGTCTTTCGCCGGCTGGTCTTTCGCAGTCTGGCACAAATGTTAGCGAGGCCCATCCACAGCAGTTGTGCGCCGCACCAATTCGCCCTATCCGTATCCACGCGGGCAGGATCCGACCCATGCCCTCACGGCCGCAAGCGAGGCCAACCCCCACAAACACTGTGGTGTCCGCGGATGGGCCATTTGCCGAGACGCCATGTTGCGCGGTCTCCTTGCCGTGCCCGCGGCCAACCATCCAACCGCTGCATGCTTGCCCTTTGTTCGGCTGTTTTACGGCCAGCCCTCACAGTACTTTTGGCGTGACGACCACGGACACCACCACCTCATCAGCTAAGCCGAGGGGGGGGCGAGCAAGGAGACCCCTTGATGCCTGCTTTGTTCTCCTTCGGACAAAACGCGGCACCGCAAGCCATCCAGCGCAAACTCCGGCCCACCGAGCTCCTGCTTGCCTATTTGGATGACATCTATGCCAGACAGAGTCCGCCGCGTGTATGACACGATGGCCCCAAGAGCTTCATGCGCACAACCCCTACCAACTCCGCACCAGGAAGGCTCGCGTCGCCGGGCTGACCCCTCCAGGCCTTGAACCTTCAGGCCAATACGTTTGGGTTGGCGACCACGCCCTTCCACGGGACCAGCACGGCATCACCGTCCTAGGGGCAAAATGGAATTTGTTGGGTTCTTCTCCGGTGATTTGAATGTGGATGGGGCCGGGCGCGGTGGATGTCCAAAAATGTGTTGTTGTTGTTGTTGTTGTTGTTGTTGTTGTTGTTGTTGTTCAACATCCTGACCAACATATACTGTGCGATATCCTCAAGCAACATGGTTTGTGTGCAGTCAACACCATGCTTCCCGGCCTGCCGGCCACTTTTCACGGCAGCAAAGGCTCTGGATCTCGCGTTGACTTCGTATGTACTCGATTGAAGCTGGTAGATCACGAGGCCAGACAGTGTTCCCCCATCCCCAGCTGCCCTCTGTTGGGCACCTCGTTGCAGGGTCACCGCCCCTTGGTATGCTCCATTTCCATGACCTGAAAACCTTGGACAGGAGCTGCACTGAGTTCGATCAGTTTTGCACATCGGAACCGGGGACGATCTGAACGAACACAAGGTACATCCAGATGGCAGGACTATGTGCACCGAACTACACAGTATCTGACACATGCCAGGTGGCCTAATGATGGTAACTTTACACACATGCATGCACACCTGACCTCTGATACGCAAAACACCTTCTCGGACACTGCAGCACGTCTCATGACCACGGGTCAGGTCCAGGGTCTTGCATCCCAGAAATGGGCACTGTACAAGTTGATCAAAGCACCTCGGGTCGCGACCCTCAGCACAATGTTCGAGAGTTGGCAGCTGATAGCACAGCACCGGAAGGTACATCGAGCTCAACAAATTGCGTCGGCTCAGGCCAAACAGGACCGCATTCAGCAGGTCTTGACTGATGACTGATGCCATGCAAGCCGCCGATCGACATGATTTGAGCCGGTTGCACCCACTTGTCAGGCGGCTCAATCCCAAGGAGGAGACGGCACGCATCCAGATTCGAGATGCCTCAGGTAGGATTCTAAGCCCGATTGAAGAATTTACATCCCTGAAACACTATGTTCAAACCACATGGCATGGGACCCCCTTCCACCTTTCCTTGCTTCGACAGGTCCAGGGATACCGTTCACTGAAGCTGACTTGGTGAGAGCGCTTTCGAGCCTAGCGCCTTTGAAGGCCAATGCCCCTGGCACATGTGCATCACTTAGTGTACTTTGTAATCCCAGCCTGATTGCTAGTAAGTTGATGTCCCTGTTGCATCATTGGTGGAATAGACCTGACCCATATATTCCGACCTCCTGGAAAAGTGGGCACTTGTTCCTGCTTCCCAAGCCGGGTAAACCTCCCAATAACGCTAAGAACCTTAGACCACTTGCCCTGCAAGAAGTTTTTGGCAAAGCGGTGATTGGCCTGGTGAGTGAAAGAGCTCGGGCATCTGTTTTGGACATTCTGCGCTCCACACCACAAGGGCACTGCAGATGCTATTGCGCGTGCCACACACCACTGTCATGAAGTTGCCCGTAAGTTGCCCATCTGATCACCCAATACCAGCGCCCTGCGGAGCGGCAGAAATCCAAATTGGATCGAACTGGACTGATTGGTGGTGCACTTCTCAGCCTTGATTTGAGCAAGGCTTTCGATAGTGTTTCTAGGGAGCTTTTATTTCAGGGAATGGAAGATTTGGGGGTTCGACGGGACTGTCTTCATTTACTTCATGAATGGCATCGAGGCACCCATTATGACATTTCCCACAAAGGTTTCTCTTCGGCTGTTCCTGTTCACCGTGGGGTTCGTCAAGGATGTAAAGCTGCCCCTTTTCTTTGGCGTTGCCTCACTACCAGCATCCTCTCATGCCTGGCCGAACAGACTTCTTGGGAATGGGTTGAGCAGTGCATCACCATCTATGCTGATGATTTTTGGTGCATCAATCCTGCACGACCATGGACTCCTTTTCTCAGTTTGTTCACAATTGTGGAATTCTCCTTGATATTCTGGCTGAATATAACCTTCAGATCAATCTGCAGAAATGCTTCTCCATGGTCTCCCTGCAGGGCAATGCACACAGGAAGACTCGGAAGACACAGGCCAAATTCCTCAAGCGCACTGAGGATGGATGGCACATTTCCCCCGGAACAATGCTGAGGCGGCTATGGTCTTGTTGCACTCCACTGTTCCGTACCTAGGGATCAAGCTGAGTTACAAGA